TAAAAACAATAATATAACTAGCACGTTCTTTAAAAAAAAAAACTAGCACGTACACTCATTTCCAAAATATGAGGGCATCTTTATTGGGGGTATATTAGGGGTTCTTAAAATATAAAATTATTAAAATTTGAGTAAAAGGAAGAAAGAAAGTGTTTTTTGTTGAAATAGTGGGATGTATTGAAATATAAAATTAATAAAATTTGAGTAAAAAGAGGAGATAGTGGAGAGAAAGTATGTTAAAGTTGTATATTAAGAAACTTTTGGAGAGAGTTTTTAGGTGTGTTTAAATATAAAATTAATAAAAGTTAAATAAAAGTATGAAAGAAAAGGTATAAAGTTGAGTAAAAAGAAGAGAGAGTGTGTGTTTTAATAATTTTATATTTTAAAAACCGCCTAAGAAACCATGGATAAAGATGGCCTGAGTATTCACTCCTTGGAACAAACATATGGTCCCTTCGTCCAAGAGGATTAGGTGACTTTAATTAGTGCCAAGAAAACTGTTTTTCTCTATTAGTTGAAAAGATGGGTGGGTAAAATACCATTAAATTTTAAGAAATGGCAATGGTCCACGAAGGTTTATGGGTATTTAATTTTGTAAAATAAGATCCACTCTTTTACACGATCTACATTTTAAAGAAGCAACTAAGAAGTAGTAGATACATACATATCAAAGGTTGTATAAATACATTAATAATACATACATATCAAAGGTTGTATAAATACATTAATAATTAGGTGAACGATTCAAGCTCAAATAAGCTTTTTATTACTCACTCCGTTTTAAAATGTAAATTGTTTTGTTGGTTCTTTTTGTTTCAAAATGTAAGTTGTTTTGACAATTCTGGATACTTTTTAATTTTATTGAATATTGTGTGATCACTAATATTTTGCATTTATTTTAGTTAAAACAACTTACATTTTGAAACACAAAAAGTATTTCTTTTCTATAAAAATGTTTATAATAAAGCAACACAAAGAAAGAGTGAGACACTCTTCAAGATTTATCTTCCTCACTTGACCCTCTCCAAGACTAAAGGAATACTCTGAATAGTGACTCGTGTCACATTGTGAATGGAAGATTGGTTC